CCTGATGCGTTGACAAACCTGTGGGGACGGGGGCTTGTGAGTGCTGCCATGGGATGGGACGGGCTCCCTGGGGAGAAATCATGCTCCAGGAATTCCCATCCCCCCCAGCTGGCCTCTCCCAAGGCTGGGGGCTGCAGGGAGGGGACCCAAACCCCACACTAACAGTGACAACCTGTGTGGTCCCCAGCCCCCTGGCTGGCAGCACGGCAAGGGGGACATCCACCTTCCCAGGGAACCATCCATCTTCCCTGACTCCTCCGCCCCCAGCACCAGCTCAGCACCGATGTGGCCGTTGGTACCAATGCCCTGAGCTGCCGGCCCCCCCAGCCAGCTCGCCAGGGGACCACGGAGGGTCTGTGTTCAGGGTCAGACTTACTCTGGCACCACTTGCTTGATCTGTGGCTTCACGTATCCATCCACGGCTTTAGCTGGAGGAAGGAAGGCAGCGCTAAGGCCCCGAGCTGCTGGCACAGGCCCCAAGGCTGCGGTGGGGCTGGGGGCTCACGCATAACAAGCTGCAGAGCCCCCACAGGGCTGGATGTGGCCCGAGGCAGGGGATGCTGCAAACCCCAGCTCCGCCCTGGTCAGATGCACGAAGGAGAAGGACACGCGTGGGGTGAAGGACAGCGCTACCTGGCGTGGACTCACAGAGAACCGGCGTGTAGTACTTGGAGAAGACCTCATCCTTGGGCCGGTCGGGGAACACGTAGATGAGGTAACTGAGGTCCCCGAGGCGGTCGGCCAGGGAGCGGATGGAGAAATCCCTGGTGGTGAAAGGCATCAGGTTCCAGAACATCCTCTCAGCTGGAAGACAAGAGCAAGGACCATGGTGATGCCCAGAGCTGCTGGTGGCTCCTGGCCCTGCTCTGGACACCGGTGAGATCACATTGAACATTGAACATTTCCTGCGCCGCATCCCTCCCCCGGCATCATTCAAGGACAAAACACAGGGACCCAGAAAAGGGGATCAGCCAGGAGGCACGGTGAACTCGAGGCAGGTCTGCCCTTGTCTCGCACGTGGGGGGCAGGTCCCCCCCAGCCCCAGGAGGCTCTGTGGGGCTTTGTGGTGCTCCTTGACCACACGAGCCTCCAAAGGACGCTCTCATGAAGAGGAGACTTGCTGTGGGGAGTCGGGCACCCCACACAACCCCACCACACCAGGAAGTCACTGCGTGTCATGAAGCCACGAGCAAGACCCCATGGCTGGGTCAGACAGGTGAGCCTGGTTCCTCCTCCCCGCCAACGCCAGCGCCAGCGCTTGGCTGGGCACGGCCACGGCTGCAGCAGCGCCGCTCCCCACGGGGTTCCCGCAGGTGCCGGCGCTTGGCCCTTTCCCAAGGACAGCTCCTGCGTGCCCCACTGCAGCGGTGACAGTGACAGCGCCCAGCCAAGACAGGAGGTGCCACAGGAGCAGCACCAGGGCCACGAGCAGGAGATGGCAGAGTCCCAGGCTGGGACAGTGGGGCCGGGGGGTGCCAGCTCCTGGTGTGCACTCACAGGAGTCAAACTTCCATGCGATGGTGATGCCGCCGATCTCCGAGTCACTGAACCGCAGGAGGAAGGTCCCGTCGGGCTTGTTGATGAGCAGGTCGTGCGCCTGCTGCTTGTTGACGAAGCCCAGGATGGCCCTAGGCAAAGCGGGGCCGTCAGGGCCGGGGGCTCGGGGTGGGCAGCGCAGGGCAGGGCGGCTCTTACCCGTCATTCCAGTGTGGCTTCAGATGCTTCTTCAGCACCTCCATGACCCCGTCAAACCACTGCCAGAAGGTGTAATTCCTCCCGGGCAGGTTTTCCTGTTGAAA